AACTTCAAGTGAATTTTAAACAAAATGGATTAGTTACTACTGTTAGAGAAATGGAACATGGCGCTTATCTTGCGTAATTCCCACTCATTATATTTTCATATCTTTTATGTATTTATTTATTAAATTTAACCACATCATATATAATGCTATCGACGGTATATGTTCCAAGCTATCTTTTTTAAAATATATGACAATAATTATGGTAAACACAAATGTTACAAGAAATTAGAAAAATAAAATTACTTGCAAAACATCGAAATAGGTATCAGATAGGCACTTAACGATGTATTTTTTTGAATTGATCAGCGCACTACCGAATATGTCAAGCTCTGGATAAGTAGTGTTTATTTTGTAGAATTTGAATGAGGAACCTGAAATCCTAGATTGGTTTTTGCAGACGGAATTTGGAATATTCTGCTGATTTAAAACCTTGGAATGAATAAGGGACGAAAATGTTATTGTTCTGTATTTGTCAATTTGACAATCTGTATAAGAACGTAACACCGGCTAGATATAGATCGTATCATAGAATTAATAATTTATGATTTATGCCAATGGACAAACGTTTGACTCGTTGGCTTTGCTTCGGCAGGCTCGGGAAGGCTGATTGACCTTAAATAAAAATCATCTGTCAGACGTATTGGATGAAAAGAGAAGTCTTATTTCAATTGAATTCTGATTTCAGCTATGAATGTTACGGCCCCGGTAAACATGGTACCATTATTCCTGTGAATAAATGCGAACCTTTGTGTGACACTCATTGAGAGATGTAATTAAATACTGTTATCGTTAATGTATGCGTTACTTGTCGACGCATACGTTGCAAAAGCGGTAAAAATTATGTACCGATATTTTTTTTGTTAATTTATATAACTAACTAAATGTTATGAAATGATCTTCTGCGCACACACTGTAATCATAAAAATATTACAACAGATTGTTAGGACTAATTATAGAGATTGGTGATTAAGATCTGTAATCTAGTTTGTACTCCAAATAGACAAAAATGTTTGCTATACAGTATATATGTATACAATGAACTTATTTTGGAGCAAGCAGAATTTTTTTATTACATTTCTCCGTCATAACTTTTGGCGTTTAGCATCATAGTAGAGTTTTTGCGATAGCCCTTGGAAATAAATGATCCTAGTTTTATTGTGTAAAAAGTAACTAAGTAATGTTACTTCTTAGAGTGTAGTAAAGAACCTAATTTACCTAAAAAAATTATAAATCAGTGGCGCTACAACTATTTAGGTCTGGGCCTCAGATTTCTGTATATGTTTTATGTTATTGTTTATCTAATAGGCAGTCGGTGATCAGCTTTCTGCTTCCGAACGATGTTTTCCTTCACCGTTCGAGCGAATGTTAAATGCATATAGAAAGAAAGCCCATTTGTGCAAATCGGGGGATCGAACCTACGACCTTAGGGATGAAAGTCGCATGCTGAAGGCACTAGGCCAACACTGCTCTGCTTAACAATTTACCCACAAGGTAAATATAAAAAGGTTGGTTTTCTGATCAAAAATAAATCATAAACGATATTAAAGGCAATTAAGTCTTCCATTATTCTTTAACTATATAGATTTAATCTTATTATATATAGCGAATAAATATATATATTAAGTTAATATAATATATTTATTCGTGAGATAATATTCTATTGAATAAAGCATTTATAATTAAATATAAATGTAATTTGTGCTAAAATGATTTATAATAAAGACATAGAAACACTATACTGCATCAAGCAGTATTATCAGTGATCATATCAGTTGTGTCATGGACGGCTGCAGCTTGCGGCGGAGGCTGTATATGTCCCGCAGTTTTCGACCCCGTGTGTGGGGTCGATCGGACGACATACAGCAACAGTTGTCGGTGAGAGGAGAATAATTTGGTCCCCAAAAATATTATTTCGTTTGTCAACAAATATATTTATTTATTTATTCCACATCATTATTCTATCTTAACAGTTATTACTAATGAGATAGAACGACACATTAATTATACCCACACCGATTAACCTACATAAAAAACATTAAAAAATTATATTTATATACCTAAATCTTACAACTAATATTGTAGTCCCTATTCCATCCATCACTATCTGAATATGTTACTAAAAGGTTAAGCGAATCAACTCCATGTTAATTGTTGTTTACAATGTATTATGTTATGTTAATGGCAGGGACACGATTTTCTAGAACTAAAAGATAGTTTTGCTTCAGGAATTCACTTGTCAATCACACGTAGATTTCTTAGATAGGATGCCTAAGGGTGCGTACAGACTATGTAACATATTATATAACTTGTGTTTTATAACACGTCCACATTATGTAACCTTGTTATTCAACATTATAACATAAAACAATACTGTACACATTAGAATAACAATGCAATATAACAATGTTATATAACCATTTTAAATAACAAAAGAAAAACAAAAAAGCGTAGATGCTGGGGTCTTCCTAGCATACATATCAATAACATGTTATTATAAAATGTTTTATAACATTCAGTGGCCACATTCTCTGAAACATGTTGTATAACATGTTATGTTATATAGTCTGTACGCACCTTAAGACTTCATAAGTCGCTTGAACGCTTCTTTGAGCTAACACATTTCTTTGGTGTTAAAAAGGCTTAAAAAATAAAATAATCTGTCAGAGAAACCATTATAACTATAATTTTCAATTTGTTACACTGCAGTAGAGTTATTGTAATAAATTGTGCGCACTGCGAAAATACAGGTTGGTGATGTACATAACACTTCGTGCACAGACTTAAAATTTATTAGAGATTTAATTTTTTATGTAATAGGAGGCAAACGTGCAGGAGGCTCACCTGATGTTAGGTGATACCATGGACACTCAAATTGGTAGTAGGCTCGCAAGTGCGTTGCCGGCCTTTTAAGAGTTGGTACACTCTTTTCTTTAAGGGCCCGAAGTCAATTGGTTTGAAAATACCGTATGATTAAAAACGCTGTACGAAGAATGGGCTAATGCAAGCATATTTGAATCATTAAAATTGCGAGAAGCTTAGTTATCGTACACGTATTGAAAGTAATACATACGACGTACTCCTCCTATCTCCTTCATTCACTTTGCTTATAATTTAATAAATAATTCATATTATAGCAGTAGCATATAGTAGCAGGTTTGTGAAGCATCACATCATCGTCAATGGCCCTTTTTTTTTTTTTTATACGAGGTGAAAATGCGCTTACGCAGGCCCGCATCAACGATGTCGAGCTTGACGCGGGGACTGTGGGGCTGGGTCTACACTCAAAACCCTCTGCTATTCAGAGGGGTAGCGAGACCCCACCCACTAAAAACACCTCAGCCCTTCACACGCCCTTAATATGGGCCCTCGGGGTTCGCTAGGCATTCTACCCAAGGGACCCGGGCTTATATCCGACATAGAGGGCTCATTCAAGACTTGCGGTTCCGGGCCACTCGAGGTCGAGCCCCTAGCCTTGAACTACCGGTCAGTCTACGGTCGTCCCCAGACCTTTCCCTCAATCGCTCAGCTGCCTCCTTCTGCAGCATTACATGTTCACAGAAGGTAACCATTGCACTCCAGGCCTCCTCACTTCCTAACATAGCTAAAATAATACCCGGTAAAGAGAGGTCCGACCCTATGACCGATACCAGGTCATGACGCTCCCTTGTCCAGGTGACACACTCTGCCACAGTATGCTCCGCCGTGTCATTTGGAGCGCCGCAATGGTGGCACAACGGATGCACCTCCCTTCTAGGCACCTTATGCAGATACCGTGTGGCACACGTGCACTCTGTAGGCGCGTTGGACGCGAACTAGATCGTCAATGGCCCCTATACAGCCCCTTGTGGGCCTCCTCGAGTATCGATTTTGCCAACGCAATTTATTTCGTGCTTCTTGTGTCCAACTTCGAACCCAAATTGTTCTAGATCCTTATAAACTCCATTCCACTAACCTAGCCTCAGTCGAGAATTATAATAATGAATTAACGATTGGATAGAAATAAATCAATAGTCCTAGGCTAAATTTTGAGGGAACACATATTCATGCATTAGCCGCATAAGCATTGTTTTAATAAGTACACAACAATGTCTTCTATTTAACATGCCCTTAGTGCTAGTAATTTAAGTTATTAAAGTACTAGCCATTAATTATATTAAATGCGATAAACACTGACATTATTTAGTAGTCTTTCGCTGACTATGACTACCGTAAAGCACTAAAAAAAAGAAATAATTTATTTAATTTAATCGATTTTATGTGTTGAAGTTTTATTTAAATGCTAGTATATCCTCAAATCAGCTTTTACATGTATATAAGCACTTACCTCACGCTTATGGTCCTGCTTGATGGGCCCATGACCCGAGCTTTGCACCGTGTTTATACGTTATAGTTAACGTGTCTATACATCTAGACTTAAATGGACTTTAATGAAGCGCTGAAACTTTGATGCTCATTTTATTTATTTAAAATAATAACAACTAATAATAATTCAGTCTATGTGTATACAGAAACTGCACAAATGGGCTGGCAACACCAAAGCTTTGACAGAAAATAAAAAGCTCACAGACGCAAGTTTGCGATTCCAGTTATTTCGTTTAAAAATACTGTAAATATTGTCTTTTTAATGCCATTCAGGTATTGTTCAGAAAAAAGTTGATATGCCACGTCTCCTACTACGCTTCGCTCGCATTCCAGTTATTTTCAATTTGCGTTGCGTTCTTGAAAGATTAAGAGGTGATATTTTTAAAAGAATTCATTCGAATTTAGAAATAATATTTACAAGTTTTTTAGATAACATTGTTGAAAGTAATGGTTTCATAAGATAATCTAACATTTAGTCAAAAGATAAATTTTGTGGCAATATTTTTTTATTGTATTTTTTATGCTAATATTAATTACTATTTTGTATTGGCCTTGAAGAAAACGAATATAAGGCGAAATTAATTTGTTTCTGTTACACTTCAATTCAAGTTGTGACAACTGTTGTGGCAAATTTCAAAATGAAGATACTTCTGTGTGAGTACATACTGCAATTTTTCTACTTTTTTTTCAAATCAATTAATAAATTAAAATTATGTAAATTAAAATTGAATTAAGATCTTTGTCGTCCCTATTTGATTATTGGCAAAATGTGGTAAAAAATTTTTTTTTTAAATATGAACCAGTGAAATCCGATGAAACGTGAGAAAGTCCTAACCTAAACCATTTTGTTTAATTCCAGGTATCACATTTTTTTCGCTAATTGCGTTGACTATCGCTGCACCACCAGGATCCCATCCTAAAGGTGGTAACGAAGTGTCAGATCCCCTTTTAGGTAGGGGTGAAGAGCTAAATAAAGCTGTTAAGCCAAAAGAAGCAGAAGCAATTCATGCGGGACCATTAGAAGCTAACGAGGCAAACGAAGCAAATGAAGCAAACGAAGCAAATGCGGCTGATCCGGAAACAGCAGACTCTGATAGCCTAGATATCCCTATAAGAGGGAGGAGGAGGCACAGGCATCGTCGGGAACTCGAAGCAAATGATGCAAATGAAGCAAATGAGGCAAACGAAGAAAATGATGCTGATCCGGAACCAGCAGAAGCTGATGACCTAGAAACCCTTGCTAGAGGAAGGAGGAGGCACAGGCATCGTCGAGAACTCGAAGCAAATGATTCAAATGAAGCAAATGAGGCAAAAGAAGAAAATGATGCTGATCCGGAACCAGCAGAAGCTGATGACCTAGAAACCCTTGCTAGAAAGAAGAGGAAGCATAGGCATCGTCGGGAACTCGAAGCAAATGATGCAAATGAAGCAAATGAGGCAAACGAAGAAAATGATGCTGATCCGGAACCAGCAGAAGCTGATGACCTAGAAACCCTTGCTAGAAAGAAGAGGAGGCACAGGCATCGTCGGGAACTCGAAGCAAATGATGCAAATGAAGCAAATGAGACAAACGAAGAAAATGATGTTGATCCGGAAACAGCAGAAGCTGATGACCTAGAAACCCTTGCTAGAGGAAGGAGGAGGCACAGGCATCGTCGGGAACTTGAAGCAAATGATTCAAATGAAGCAAATGAGGCAAACGAAGAAAATGATGCTGATCCGGAATCAGCAGAAGCTGATGACCTAGAAACCCTTGCTAGAAAGAAGAGGAGGCACATGCATCGTCGGGAACTCGAAGCAAATGATGCAAATGAAGCAAATGAGGCAAATGCGGCTGATCCGGAACCAGCAGAAGCTGATAACCTAGAAACCCTTGCTAGAGGAAGGAGGAGGCACAGGCATCGTCGGGAACTCGAAGCAAATGATGCAAATGAAGCAAATGAGGCAAACGAAGAAAATGATGCTGATCCGGAACCAGCAGAAGCTGATGACCTAGAAACCCTTGCTAGAGGAAGGAGGAGGCACAGGCATCGTCGGGAACTCGAAGCAAATGAGGCAAACGAAGAAAATGATGCTGATCCGGAACCAGCAGAAGCTGATGACCTAGAAACCCTTGCTAGAAAGAAGAGGAGGCACAGGCATCGTCGGGAACTCGAAGCAAATGATGCAAATGAAGCAAATGAGGCAAATGCGGCTGATCCGGAACCAGCAGAAGCTGATAACCTAGAATCCCTTGCTAGAGGAAGGAGGAGGCACAGGCATCGTCGGGAACTCGAAGCAAATGATGCAAATGAAGCAAATGAGGCAAACGAAGAAAATGATGCTGATCCGGAACCAGCAGAAGCTGATGACCTAGAAACCCTTGCTAGAAAGAAGAGGAGGCACAGGCATCGTCGGGAACTCGAAGCAAATTATGCAAATGAAGCAAATGAGGCAAACGAAGAAAATGATGCTGATCCGGAACCAGCAGAAGCTGATGACCTAGAAACCCTTGCTAGAGGAAGGAGGAGGCACAGGCATCGTCGGGAACTCGAAGCAAATGATGCAAATGAAGCAAATGAGGCAAACGAAGAAAATGATGCTGATCCGGAACCAGCAGAAGCTGATGACCTAGAAACCCTTGCTAGAGGAAGGAGGAGGCACAGGCATCGTCGGGAACTCGAAGCAAATGATGCAAATGAAGCAAATGAGGCAAACGAAGAAAATGATGCTGATCCGGAACCAGCAGAAGCTGATGACCTAGAAACCCTTGCTAGAAAGAAGAGGAGGCACAGGCATCGTCGGGAACTCGAAGCAAATGAGGCAAACGAAGCAAATGCGGCAAACGAAGACGAAGAGGAATTACAGGAAGAAGAACAGGCATAATCACTAATTATTTGATTTAATCACTAAATATTAATTAATCTAAATGTCTGATTGTAATGTTCATGAATAAATTAATAGCACAGATATACGTTATATTGTTTACAATCTTTATTATGTCAAATTTATATAAATATGATTTATATCTATTTAATACCCTGAAATACCTACCAAATAATATTTTGACTTTAAATTTAGTTGTTTTTTTTACTATACACAGGATTGGAGATTTTTTCTTATAACTAATCCGAGCATATCAGATGCTTTTTTGACTAGTGTTAATTTATGGTTCGCTGAAACGTTTGCCATTGAGTAAGTTGTTAGTATCACTCCTAGGTTGAAGGTGTGAAGCATCTAATTACATTTAATAGTGGTTGCTAGTTTGAGACAGGAGCCAAACGGGCAAGAGGCTCACCTGATGTTAAGTGATACTGCCGCCCATGGACACTCTCAATGCCAGAGGGCTCGTGAGTGCGTAGCCAGTCTTTTAAGAATTGATTCGCTCATTTCTTTAAGAACCCTAAATCGAATTGGTTCGGTAATACTTCAGTGGGCAGCTGGTTTAACATAGTGGTGGTGTGCGGCAAAAACTGCCTTAAAAAATTCTCAGTTGTGGAACGATGGACGTCGAGGTGATACGGGTGAAATTTCGTAGTCTGCCTCGACGTCCGATGATGCAACTAAGCTGCAGGTATTAATCCAAACAACTCCTCTGAACACTCTCCATGGTAAGTTCGGCAGAAGATGCAGAGAGATCCCACATCTCTACGCAACGCAAAGGGATCAAGTCGCTCGGAGAGGGATTGCTCATCGACGGTTAATCATGTTTCGACATTATAAATAAATACATATTATTTTCTACTCGGCGTGTAGTGAAGGTGAATCATATCTTCGTATTAAAAACGCAGAATGCTCATTTGCACCACAGAATAAAGCAAAATCTTATTGATCATTGATCAAATGTCACTTAAAACTAGTTTCATCCTATCGACGCTTAAAACATATTATGAAATAAAGTAGCTTCTTCGAGTAGCAATATTTTAACAACTGTAGGACTACAGTTCTCAGGTGTTCATTGTCCTGTTTTAATATCGACCGTTAACACGACGATTTACGTCAATAATGCAAGAAATCGATATTTTCCGTTAAGTAAGTTTTATATAAATGTATTTTTTAATATTAGTAATATTTGCTAAAGGATGTTAAAACATCTATTTATTATTTATATTGTGTTTGGCAGTGACGAAGTTCGTATTCAAAGGTGCGAACTTCAAGTGAATTTTGAACAAAATGGATTAGTTACTACAGTTAGAGAAATGGAACATGGCGCTTATCTTGCGTAATCCCCACTCATTATATTTTCATATCTTTTATGTATTTATTTATTAAATTTAACCACATCATATATAATGCTATCGACGGTATATATTCCAAGCTATCTTTTTTAAAATATATGACAATAATTATGGTAAACACAAATGTTACAAGAAATTAAAAAAATAAAGTTACTAGCAAAACAGCGAAATAGGTATCAGATAGGCACTTAACGATGTATTTTTTTTTAATTGATCAGCGCACTACCGAATATATCAAGCTTTGGATAAGTAGTGTTTATTCTAAAGAATTTGAATGAGGAACCTGAAATCCTAGATTGGTTTTTGCAGACGGAATTTGGAATATTCTGCTGATTAGCCCTAATACGAGGGTACTTAAAAAAAAAAATCAGTGACTCCACAACCTCAGATTTCTGTATCAGTTTCGTGATCATTTGTCAATCTTATAGCAAGTAGGTGATCCTGTGTCTGACAAACGCCGTCGACTTTTTGAATCTAAGGCAAGCGGGTTTCTTCACAATGTTTTCATTCACCGTTCGAGCGAATATTAAATGCGCACATAGGAAGTCAATTGATGCACAGCCGGGGATCGAACCTATGACCTCAAAGATGAGAGTCACATGCTAATAACCACCACGCCAACACTGCTGAATGCCGCAATGCGAGTTAGGTATAGTTATAACGTATAAGAGTAACGTAGTATAAAGTCAAATCACTTATTTTAAATAGGCACTTTTGAAAGTCAACATTACAAATAAAAAATATTAAAAAAAAAATACTCTAGTTGCCCCTTCCAAAAGGTAGTTTCATATGGAGAATAATGGGCAAGAAACTCCATAATTACTCTTTTAAAATAGTTTTTAAACAATTCTATTCGCTCAACTATGGTCAAAAAAGTGAGCCCGACTGAGTTTCTTGGCTTATTCTTTTTATCACTTCGCTTCCTTTTAAAATTTATAAATGGTATAAATATCTTTTATACTTCATTATACTATTTACTAAGCGAAATTTCTCTTTTACTCATTATTTGAAATTCCCATCATGTTTATCATACAATGTTTATACGTTGAGCCAGTTTTGAATAAGAAAAATTTAACCACCTTAGATATTCACGATGAATGCATTGGTATGGTTTGTTTATTCGTTGATGTAAACTAAGTATTTTTTATTTATTTATGTAACAACGAATACATATTTAACAATATTCAATTACAAAGTAAATTTTTGTTTTTATAATAACTTGTTATACTCATTAGTTTTGGGACGGTAGTGCGGGTTGCGTGTGTCAACACAAGTTCCGTATTTATATTTAATTTAAGCTTATTATTTGTGGAAAATAAAGTTCAAAAATGTGTTTAAAAGTCATATATTAACACAAAGTGACGAGTTCATATATTTTTGGTGCAAAATCCGTCAAAAATAGACTTAAAATAAACTGTGAACAGAACACTAAGGCCTACAACGCACTATCGGCTGGCCGCGATGCGGTGTGCCGCTGCGGCAGGCCGCGGTATATACGGTCTGCCGTAGCGGCATGCCGTATTCCGGCTAACCGTCCCTATTGCGGTCCTATTGCGGTCTGCCGCAATCATCACTCGTCAAGTGCTTCTTGAAATATTGCACATGATGGACGTTGAAGAAGTTGCGGTAGTTATTTATTTATATCATCGTAGAAAATATCGTCAAACTCTGCGTAGTGTCTAGCGCAAGGAACAAGCGATGACTGAGGCGGGTAGGACGTGGTATTTGCGGCTAACCGCGCCGAGTGCGTGGAGGGGATGCGGCGCGCCGCATCATTCAACCGGTGCGGTTCGCCGCAGCTCCAGATCAACCGGAGCGGTTGACGGTTGTCAGCAAGTCAGTGCGTTGTTATCGTGCGGTTTCATGTAATAATCGATGTGCGGCCAGCCGCTAGTGCGTTGTAGGTCTAATTTATAAATTTATACGCGACTAACTTTGTTCAAAATGACTATAATATTTTCTATAAATATGTGATTTCGGAAGTGTATTATAGTGACTATAGTGACTTGTGACACTATTGTGTTGTCGATTTTTGTCGGTAGTGAAAACCTATACCTACGTGACTAACAGAAGTTGTATTAGTCATTCGCGACAAACGTCACTAGAAAATAGCAGCTATATTAAAATTTCGAAGTGATCAGTACTTAACCAGTTAGCCGATTGCGTAAATAGTTGCCTCATCCATAAAGTCTCGAGTTCAAATCAGTTTTAGTCTTGATCCTCTTTTTATTGTATTTTTTTGTAATTAAATACTGATAAAATACAAAGTTAAGTATTTGAAATTAAAAAAAAAAAATTAAAAAAAAAAATTAAAAAAAAAAATGCTTTATCTGGGAGTCATACCACAAAGATAGGAGTCATAATACAACAGTGATCTTATAATAAAATGAGTGTCCCAAGGAAAAAATTAACCCAGCAGGACATTCACCGCAGCTTGTTAGTCACCAGGCCTAGAAGCAATTCCTTAGGAAGTAACCCTCCAGAAAGCTCACAAACCGTGACAGAACTACCGAGAGACACGACCACGCAAAATGCACCAAGCCAGCAAGGCACTCCATGCCCCCGTCTTGGCAAAGAGTACCAAGCACGGGAAATCCAAAACGAAAAAAAGTCAGTGACTCTCCAGAGAATATAACCACCAGCAATATGTTCAGTCAACTAACAATTGACCTAATGGAAGACCCCACAACCAGTGGAAAAAAACCCAGCAAGCCTCCACCCATAATATTATATGGCATAGAAGATATCAATAAATTAGCGGAACTCGTGGAAACAGTTATAGATAAAAGCTCATTTAAATTTCGGATAATGAACAGAAACCAACTAAGAATCAACACCCAAGATACAGAGGCCTACAAAAAATCATCACTAAATTCCGTGTAAGTGGCTTAATTGGTCACACATTTAACAAAAGGAAGAACGACCCTGTCGTATTGTCATTCGGAATCTTCACCACACAACACCTATAAGCGAGATAAAGGAAGAAATTGAAAAAACTGGAAATACTGTGGTCGGGGAAATTATTAACTCAAGATATGGCCCAGAAAAAAACCTACCTCAACATTCTTTGTTAATCTCCTACTTAGCCACAACAATAAGGCAGCTAAAGAAATTAAATACATCTACCACCAATCTGTAACCATAGAAGATCACAAAAAGAAAAACTCAATAGTGCAGTGCCAAAGGTGTCAGCAATATGGACACACAAAGAACTACTGCATGAGACCTTTCCGCTGCGTGAAGTGTGCGCAAGCACATAAAACCTCAGACTGTCCAAAGCACATACAAATACACCCGCCCAATGTGCACTATGTAATGGCTCACACCCGGCAAACCTATAAGGGTTGTGAAGTATACAGAGAAATTCTTGCTAGAAAAACTAACAAATATGGCCATCGAACTGACAGACGCATTACCGCAAAAGAAAACACGATTCAAGCCGTAAACGCTCCAAGAAACACTGCCCAACAATCTTTCTTCATTGGTAAGAAAACGAACCACTCTCTTACGTAGGATCTGCTAGAAAAGTTCCAGACAAAGAAAATGCTTCACCTGATGCTAACCAAAACCCTACATTATTAGAAACTCTCCTCACCAAACAAAATGAGAAATTCGACTTAATCTTACAACAAATGAGTACTCTAATGA